AGAAGCAGATTTGAACTCTGTGCCCGGCTTTCCACAGAGAGGGTTTGTGCAGAGGAAGATACAGCTGCAGGAGTCGGTCCAGGAGTACCCCGCAAACAGAGGCACCTCTGAAATACCCATGGAAATGGAGAGCTGTCCTGTGGGCAGGTCATTCCCTCACTCAAGGAGAGCTTTGTAAGTACCCAAGTACATGGTGTTTTCTTAGCTACATAAAGTGATAGTAATGCTAGGAAGTTATGTGTAATCCCTGCTCTTCAGTGTAAGGAGACTCCAATTCTTTCTGGTAGGCAGTGTATGGAAAGCTACCATTGCACAGATGCTAAGATGACTCTCTAGGATAGTGAGGGACTATACTTTGATAGGTCAAGACAAGTGGGTCTGTGCTCAACCCATCCAGAACATAGCACAAGGAATTCCTGGTTAACCACCCGAGAAACCATCCTGTCTGCCTACTCTCTTCTCAGAGAACTTAAGTTTCACATTTGGTTTTTGGCCTTCACCACTGTTACTCTATTCCGCTCTGTCACCTCCCCAAATGGGTTTATTTCTGTCCTAGTTTTGCCTTGTCTTCTTTCCATGGTATTGGCTTGCACTTTTTGAAAATGAGGTTTGTTTTTCTCTCTATCCACTTGCTTGACTTTGCCTATAAGTTAAGGTTAGGGATATGTATGCCATAAGAAAATCCTTCCAAAACAAAATGTATGAGCTAGCCCGTTTCTCATGGAACTGCCTTTGAACCTGCCCGGGACTGCATGCGTACTGCCGTCAGCACAAGGAAAGCGTGTTCAAGGACGGACATTTACCACAGGGAGGCGCTTGGCCCAGGAGGAGAGAAAACTGGCCTTTCTTTTACTTGTTACCTGTTTGAAAACAACCAACCTGGTTGTCTTCATTCCTATGAAAAGTTCTTACACTATAGTCTAGCACTTAGATTTTATTATAAGTAAGGAAACGACTCTAGTTCAGTGCCTTCAGTTTACTCTGAACGTGTCCCTTTTCAACATTGTGAAGAAGTTTTGATCAGAGGAGAACTACAGAACCAGTCCTGGGACCCTAAGTTCTAGGAAGATTTAGCTTTTGAAATGAAGATGTTGGAATGATGGTTCTGAGAAGTGAAGATAGTCCAGAGACCAAACCAGAAATGACCAACGGAAGCTAGGAATGAAGAGCATTACGTTCTTCAGAATCAGAGAGCTTAGAGTTGCCAGGGGTTTCGGAGATGTCACTCAAATTCCTCACCTTCAGGATGAGAAAACCAAGAGTCAGGAAGGTTAAATGACTTGCTTAAGGTCACAGGGCTTGGATGTGGCCTGACCCAGGGCTGGAACCCAATTCTCCTGACTCCCAGTCCAGTACACTTTCCACCTCACGTTAAAGGTGGCATTTATCTTGGGTAGAGGAGTGTGTTTTAAGCATACTGTGAATTTGACTTACATTTCTTTCTATAGTAGTCTTTTCACCCTTTTGGAAAACTCGTGTGGTCCTTGAAGTCATCTCTTTGATGATGCCTCATGTTATCGGTTGTTTAGATTTTAGAAAATGCATGTATGTCTGTTAAACACATCAGACATTTCAAAAAGACCCAAAGAGAACATGTCTGAGAGAAATGATCCTGATTAAAATGATTCGTCCTCTTTGGCAATATTCAGGACAGATATGTAGAAACCTGAATCCACTGGAGTCAGTAAAAGTAGTTATTTCCTAGGGTAACTTAGCAAGATAGTTCTCAAAAATATAACTCATTTCTTATGTCCTACAATTTCTTAGGATTAAGATGACAAAGTAGCTTTCCGAATGTATTTGATGGATGGAAAATAAAAACTGAGTCCTATTTTGTCCATCAAGGTATGGGTGACCTCCTTGGTCCTATTTCAGTAAGATGTCTTGGATGGTCAGTAAGAAGTAACAAGAGACATTTGGGAGTTGATACATCGGACACATGAGCCCTTAAAACGCCTTCCTCTGTATCTTGTCATTTCCCTTGCTTTGGGATCAAGTGAGGAAACAGTAGAAACAGTTGGGAGAAACTCCACTTTTGTCCTGAAGGAGCAAAGAGGAGGTTCCTGTGACTTAAGCAGTGTATGGACCCTACCAGGTCCTGTGTGTCTGCTTCCTTTGCTGGGGCAACCTCGAGTTTGGGCCATTCGTCATACCTCTTCCCATTCTGACTTGTGAAATGCTTTGGTTTTTATTTATTTTTATCTTTTTTATTTTTCTTTAAGATTCATAGGTTTAGCTGAACTTGGGCCCTGCCTGAAAACTGAAGTTTACACAGTTTATATTATGTACATAAACTAGTGATTTACATCGATTTACACATGATTGGTGCCTAATTTATTAATCAGCACACAGTATGTAAATATGCTGAAAGGAAATCAAGATTTTAAAATAAGTTTTCCATAATATCCATAAACATTTGCAGTGGTGTCATAGGAAGCCGAAACCTACTGTGAACACCAGCTTCCTGGCCAGGAGGAAAGTGAAGTGCAGGGCAGGGTGAGCGACTCTTTCTTGAATTTCACGTGGCCGCATTGGACAGCACAGCTATTTGTACAGGAGAATGACTAGTGTGCATGTCATGTGAACTCCACTTTGCATCGAGGGAGATGTTTGCAGATACTACGCAAACCATGGTGGCAAATTGACATCACTGGGGCAAATGTAGTCTTTGGAGGAGAAATATTTTAAACACTTAAGAAAGAAGGGGGCTTCCTAAATCCATCTGCATTTCTTAACTCAGGGTCTTATCTCACTATTTTATGGTATATTTAACATTTGTCCCCAAGGAATAGTAGTTTTGATGGGTCAGATATTGCATTACACTTATACTGATATAAAAATGATAGTTCTTGAGAATCAAGACTAACTCTAAGCAAAAAGATTAAGAAGGTGAAAAGTAAGACCATGGTTAAGCCCATGGAAGACAGTTTGTAAGCAAATTGCTTAAAAAAATGGAAACAATGGGGCTCCATGTCTTTCTAAAGGAAGCATAGCTCTTTGTTTAAACCAGACTCAGTACTTTTCTTCCTTTTAAGTTTAAACCATTATTCTAGAGTGTTCTAATACACATAATATTGTAAATATAGCATCTGCAAAGATAAGATTAAAAATAATACATATACACATATATTATTTTTCCACAAATAATCCAAGGCCTGCAAAAAAAAAAAAAAAAAAAAGAAAAGAAAAGAAAAGAGAAATTCTGAGAGACAAGCCAATAGAAACAGTCAAACCACAACCAACCTGGGGATGGAAACTGTGACTATGGAGTAGTTTAGAAGCTAACGACTTGGTAAGTGATAACTCAGATACAATTTCATGCTGAGGAGTTTAGTTTTCGTGTGCAAAGGAGGTAAGTCCATTTTTGGAGGAGAAACAGACTTTTGTTTCTGTCCTCCAAGAACATGAAAATCACGAGTACTTTTACAAGGTCTCTATGAATAGCCCCAGTTGTCTGAATATGTAGTTTTAAAAAATGCCCATGACAAGGGAGAAGTCTGTCTGACTTGGAAGAGAAGGCAAAGATCAATGGGAAGATCCTTTCCAACAGAAAACTCAATAACTTTCCCATAAACCTCAGTTCTTTTAGGGCAGAGAGATATTAGGTCTCAAAAAGGTAAGACAAAAACCTTCTGATGAACAGTAGTCCAGAGGATATAACTCTGCAGTTGTAAAACCTTGGATTCTTCAGGAAGTGCCCTGGCTCAAGGTTATTTCTGCTATTTTAAGTGGAAATCGAGTCTAAGGATTTTGTCTTATGAATGGAGACGTTTCATTTGGCATACAAAGAACATTCAACATATTAGCCATTCAGATTAATTGATCACTCTGCTCTGTGTATTGTTTCTAACCAGTGAGTTCTTTTTAGTTCAGGGTTTAAGCTTTGATTACCAATGAACAAGCCCCTTGAGGGGATTTATAGCAATAGGATGCCCTGATGAACTAAATTCCAAGAAGTCCCATGTTCAGACTCATTTTTTTTTTTTGGTGAAAACCCTCTGGTTTCTACCTTTGTTTCTGATCTTTCTCCAGTCTGTGCCACATTGCTGAGAGACATTCTCAAACCTAAGAGATTTCTGGGGTCAATGTTTCCTCTGTAACAGGAACCAGGATGAACTTTTAAAATGGCTAGATCCTGCCAGAGAGATATGCAAACACCACAATATTTAATATATGCTTAATTATCTTTAATACAGGGTCCATTTTATTAAAACTCAGGGAACACATGATGCTGACATGGCAAAGACATTCCTTTCCATGGAGAATCTCCTTCCACAATGCCAAGACCTTGACCTTACGATAGGGTGGGGACAGTAAGAAATCTACGTGCATGATTCAAGTCTGTGACATGTGAAACTGATACTAACCTGAATTAACTCCTGTTCCTCTTCTCTTATTATACATCTTTACATTAGCACATATACCTCTCAAACCTCCACTTGAGGATGTGGCTGGCTCTTCATGCATATGGGGAACATTTATCATCGAGGATGATAAACGTTTAATCCTGTACTAAGAAGACCAAACTGTTAGAGAAATCCCTGATTGTCAGAAAGTAGATGCTGCGCAGGAAGGAGGCCAACTTCCCTGTATTTAGTAGTTACCTGTCCTGTAGCAGGATTGGCCACAGACACTCTTTTTGATCCCCAAGCCCGAGTTGTCCTTCTGTTTCATGTCTAAACTGCAAAATCATAAAAGAAGGCTGATGAGAAACGTCTAAAACAAACAGTAGAATCTCTTAGGAGAGATGAAAAACACTGCTTGTCAAGGAGATTGTTAATTTCATAGACTCATCCCAAAGAGCCTTCAATTAATAAAATCTACCAAGATAAAACTTTCTCTTTCTGTCTCCCTTCCTCCCTCTCCTCTTCTCTCCCCTTCCTTCCTTCCTTCCTTCCTTCCTTCCTTCCTTCCTTCCTTCCTCCCTCCCTCCCTCCCTCCCTCCCTCCCACCATCCCTCCCTTCTTCCCTTTCTTTCTCTCTTTTTTTTTTTTAAATTTGCAGTTAAGACGTTTCCTGTTTTATATCACAGAACAGCTATTTTCCAGGTTTCAAATCTTGGTGAGGTACCATATTTGGCTTTGCTAAAATATTTTCAATTACGACCTCAATAATAATCTTCTGTCCTTTTCATAAACTGAGTCACTTCCAATGTCCCTCCTAGGGTTGGTTTCCTGGCAAAGCTATCTACCCACGTAGAGCCTTTCCTAAGACAATCCTTCCTGGTGTGGTGACAATGCCAAGCTATGTGGTGAGAATACAATGTCTGCGTAAATTATTACACGTTCCCCAGCTCTCTTGGTTAAGATACTAACTCACAGTTCAGTGTTAATGGCGAGATGATGCTTGTGGATGTAGACTTAAACAGCGAATTCCCCACTGTATCTTTTCCAGGAGACTAGAAGCCAAAAGTGAGCGGGAAATCGGAAGATCATTCCGTTCCTGGAGGCCTGGCCGAGGATAAAGGGGGACTACTATGATCAGCGGCCGGCGGGGCAGGAGGGGGCCGGCGTGGGCAGCCAAACCAAGTATTAGCCTAGAATCCAGCACAGTCTGCAAAGGAGCACAGCAGCCGGTGCCTGTCGGTGGTCACCGCTTTGCACTGGACCGTCAGCACCCCTACAGCCCGGGGAAGGACCTGCGCAGTGGTCCGCTTTTCCTGCTTCGCTGGCTCTCACTGTTATCTTACCAGAAATACGAAACAATCTCTGCTCAGGGGAATCATGGAGCGAATGCAGTGTTATTTGACAACGAGGGAGGGGGCAACACAGGGCTCCTCACCCTTTCATTGGGAGTTACACTCGGAGACCTTCCTGCGTCTGGGGATTTGCTCAGCACGCGCTGCGCGCCCCTGCGGCGGAGCAGGACCCAGCCTGCCACACCCAGCGGGGCTGCGAACCCCTCAGGCCTGGAACTAGAGTGAAATCAGAAACCTTCTCTCCTAGGTCGCCTCATCCACGTCACCGATCCTCTCTACTGTTTGCTCACCCCATCCATAGTAGGCACTTTCATTGACAGTGATATTCTGAGTGACTCTCGACTGGGTTCTGATGATTGGACTAGGAGAAAGATGAGGGTCTGCGCTCGGAAAGGGCACAGCTGGGTTTGAGTACACACTGATGTCGTGCGACAGCCGCGGTGGGGAAGGCCTCGCTCCTGGCCTCCTTCCCCCCTCGTCCCCCCGCCACGTGCCACAGCCGCGTCTCACAATCACAAGGCGGGACAGTATCTACAGCACGAAGTCTATGTACACATGGACCATTCCCTTGGCATGCTTGAGAGAGACACACACGCTCACACACATGTACACCCACGTGAGAGCGAGAGACGCGAGCACGCACAGTGGAGACAATGAAAATGGCACTGCCTAGCATCTGCGGCATGACTAGCGCGGGGGTGGTGGGCGTGAAGGGAAGTGATGGGGGATTCCTGGGATGAATGTGGGGAGATAGAACACACTGGAGGGGGGAGGAGAGGGTCGTAAAAGTTGGGGAGGGTGGAGGCAGAAAAGCCCCATAAAGGCTCAACACAGGACTCCAGCTTGGGTTCCACTGAAAATGGTTACCAGTCAGCTCAAGAGAAAAACAGAAGAAAAAGTTGATGGCAATATACACACCAAAGGCAAGACCTTGTTTTGTTTTGTTTTTCCTCACGGATGAAACAAGATGAAGGAAGGATAGTGTGTGAGGGGGTTAACATCCATCTGGTTCTTCTTCCTGGGTCTCATTTTTACACCCGGGTGTCCTTAGCACGGCGTGGTCTTCGGACACCATTCATCTGTTCAGATCGACGCATCCTGGTAGGACTTTCCCACCCTGACTCCCACTCCAATGTTTACTGATGGACTTGAAAATTGTTTTAAATGTCGTGTTTTCTTCTTCCGTAGTTCCCCCTTTACTTATAAACACACAAAGTTGTGAAATAAACAGTCTCCCCCCATCTCGCTCTCTCTCTCTCTCTCTGTATCCTGTGTGACGCATTTTTGTGTGTTTTTTTTTTTTTTAAATTATTTTAAAATTTTTATTCTATTAACATTTGCTGAGAAGGCAGAGCAGAGAAGCTGCCAGCAGCCACAGTGGTACGGCCAGGCTGATGGATCCGTTGATTCCTCTCACCGACCCAGGTCCTGCAGTGAGAGAGAAGAGAATGGTTACACCTGCCCATCTACGTTCCAGCTGACTTCTGTTCCTGTCAGAGGGGAGGCCCTGCCAGGGACCAGCACCTCAAGTCAGCACGCTCAGGCTCACAATCTTTTCTTAATCCTTCTTGAGCTATAAGTATCTTAAGGAGTATCAGTGGTCGAAACACCTCTAAATACAAAATGCTGTCATCAGAACAGACCTGAAACTGGTTATCACTGACGTGTCTGGCAGTGCCGCGGGCTGCTGGTCACCCAGCCTCCTCCTGCATGCCCTGCTTGGCATGGTAGCCGATGCGGGCGCTCATTAAGATTCCAAGCATTGGCCAGGGTCCTTCAGCAGCCAGACACGGGCTCCTCCAGCCGATTTATCACAGCATCTCCATCAATAAAACATGGAACCAATCTGTGACTCTCTTGTTTCTCAGGGGGAAGCAGTAATTATTTATTGGTTACAGGGAGGGGAACCATTTCAAAGTAATATTTGTGACTGGTGACACGTTAGCGGCAAGGTGGAAAGTAAGTCAACTCATTGTGGAGTTTGAAGAGGCAGCAGGGGGTCCTCTGGTCCAAACTCTCTATTTGACACTTTAAAAATAGAAAGCAAAGACAACAATAACAACAGAAGATGACAAACAAACAGACCCAGAGAGGTTAAGAGGCAGGCCCAAGGCAGAAACAGAACTGAGACTTGAACTTGCCCAACCTCAACCCTAAGCGGTCTGTGCCCGCTGCCAGCCTCGATTTCCCCATGTGGACGTGATTTGGCGGGGGAGGGGGTGGCTATAGATCCTGAGGGAGATTGGACTGGAGAGGAAGGTGCAGGAGTGATCTGTGTGTTGACAGAAGGAAGAGGATTGGCAAAGAAAACGTAGGTGGGGAGAGCTTGTTTCTTATGCTTTGCTTGCCCACTCTCTCCTTTTGTATCTTTTTGTTCATACAGATCCTTACAAGGGAAAAAAAAAATGAGTATTTTTCACAACCAAGACTTTGGGATTGAAGACTACATGCTTAGATGATGACATTTAAGAGAAAGACTGGTGTGACTGCAATTATGGGTCACTTTGAAGTTTTGAGGGCACAGATGCAGACAAATGTGTGTGAGTGAGTGTGTGTGTGTGTGTGTGTGCATGTACGTTTAAACTTATGATGGTTTAAGTGCAATGGGAGCATTCTCTGGTGTGTGAATGTTGCCAATATTGTCAACAGTCATACCAGAGCAGAAGTAAAATAACAGGGAAAGCATTCAATTAAAAAAACGTCCTCCTATTCTTCATTTTCTGTAAATCATAATAGCAACAACCACCAAACAAACCCAGGAAACAATTATGCAGCTCTTACTACAAGGTACTGTCTAAATGGTTTACAGGTGCTCTGAGACAGGTGTGCTAATGAGCCCTGTTCCACAGCGAGATGACAGTGGCAGGGAGAGGACACTTCCATTCACAAGTTCACACAGCTGGGGTGCGGGCTGTCCCTGGCATCAGGCTCCAGGGCCACCTCTGCACAGTGCAGGTACCCACTGAAGGGTGCTGATGAGTCTCTTGGCAAATGTTTGGCAAGTGAAGTCTGTGTTTGTTTAAAATAACAGCCAACACTAACAAAACAACATGAAGGCATCCATTATCTTAAAGAAAGAAAGAAAGAAAGAAAGTGATTTCAATAGAATATTTGGACTAGAATGCCTTTTTGGAAATATTAAAAATATTACTTACTAAAAATATATAAATATATAGAGACTTCAAACAGCATAGTTATAGTACAAAATGAGCTTTATTATATGTAGAGATATGGAATTACAGATTAAAATGTTAAATATTCTATCAATCACGCCTCTAATTTTCTAAATGGCTATAGGATTATATTAACACCTTCAGGTTTATGCCTTTCATGAGGAATTAAAGTTCAAGAAGGTCATATTTCCTGTTTAAAGCACCTGGTTAGTCATTGTGTTCGAGGCACTAGAATCCAGATGTTCTGAGTCTTAGCTCCACACCCTTCCTAGCCCAGCCCCTCCCTGTCCCCCACTCCACCCTTTGGCCCTTTGGCATTTTGAATCTCCTGTAGTGGTGGCTCCCCAGGGCTCTGGCCTCGGGGCCATTTTAGTTCCACTGTACACTTTAGGTGGGTGAGCTCTGGGGCACATTTGTTTAAATTAGTGAGTGTGTCAGTGACGTTTCAAAGCAGAGAAGGACTACATACAAACTGAGGCCTGGTTAATCAAAAATGATTTTTGTTTTGCTCTAGAGATAGTGTGAAACAGAAAGTTTTCAGAAATAGTCTAATTCTGCCTATTTTCTTAACCTCATTTTTAGTGCTGGGACAGGCTAGATTATCATTCAGACATCTTGCAGTTGAGGGGTACCTAGGGAAGTCTAAAAAGCCTAGTCTTGTTTTACTGGGAAGGTAATAAATATTTGAGAAAGCAAAATTTCCATCGACATATAGACACAACACATATAAACCAAGATAAACATGTTCAATATGACATTTTGTTAATGTCTATACACATATATACATAGACACAAAGAGAAGAATATGTTATATGCATATTCATATACACACATATGATATGCACAGGTATTATTGGTCTTTTCACACACATAATTGAGAATGAACTATTATGTTTTCATAATGTTCTACTTGTATATACGGGCTCCCAGTATACGACTGTATTAATATTTTTAATTTTATCCTTTATAAAGTTACAACATATTTGAAGTGGATTTTTAGGCTCTGTTAAAGAGATTGTCATCTCTATCGATTATTACTAAGTGCTCTCTTATAGCTATTTGAGGTACTTATACGACTTGCTCTCGTCATAGTTGGTTTTGAGAGTAAATAAATAGGCTAAACAATGCAGGGTGGGGAGTTATCACAAGGGTGTGTGCAATTATGGGTACATATATATGATTGCCTCAGAGAATACTTCAGTTAATGGCCATTTCAGGAAAAAATAATCAGCAAAATCATTAATTATGTTTCAGTTCAGTTATGAAATTCCTGCTTATTTGTGGAAATGCAAGTGGTAAATCTTATTCCCACACCAGATTGCTTAGCAAATACTTTTCTATACCGACAGATAGAATGAAACCAAGAGTCTGCAAACATAAACTAGCCTTAAGAATAGATGGGCAAATAGAACCACAATTCAAAAATTGCTACACGGTTTCACAGGACAGGCAAATATTGTACCTTGGTCCTTAGCCACATTCTGTGTGTGTGTGTGTGTGTGTGTGTGTGTGTATGTGTGTGTGTGTGTGTGTGTACGCACATGGGTTGTATCCGGTGAACATTCAATAAATGGTAGCAGAATCATTACTGTTCTTGACTATAGATGTCCAGATAACAGAAAGGCACAAAATACCCCTGTATCAAAGGATTGGTTTGTGAACTGAGTCAAAGCTTTTAATGTTTGACCCGAAGGGGCAAAATTCACTTGCAGCAAGATTGAAAATCTTGAGTCAACTCACCAGGTCAAGGTTCTCAGCCCCAGGACAGGATGATAAGTGAGACTGTATCAAGGTGCACGCTGGACTGCACTTTGCCATGGCAACGCTTAAAAAGGGAATTTGTGACTAAGGGCAAGATTTATATAACCTCCTGAAAATGAGGAATATGAGTAATTTTTTTTTTTTTGGCAAAGTCTATACACTACAAACCTGATTCAGGTTGCTGGGTCACTTGATTTGTCTTCCGGTAAAATCTCAAAGCAAGGACAGGTGACTTTCAGCACCTGCTTTAGACAGCACTCTCTTAGAGACACTTTGTGATTCAAATCGGACATTTCTGTTGCTTCTCCTGGGTACCTAGGGCTCATTTCATGGGCTGGGGACTATATTTATTCAAAAACAATCACTAATTACACCCTCAGTGATTGTTGGGCTATCGTTTCATCCACGAAGCAACTGAGGTTGATCATAGTTTTATTCCTGTACCTAGTTCAGCCATACAAGACAAGAAGACAGGCCAGGCAACTTTAAGTTTGAATTCTTAGAATTACTAAGGGCTGGCGGAGTGACTGAAAATAAGGCAAAAACCTAAACAATATAGTTAACAATTGTTAAGTGAAAGAGAAAAATAACCTCCTAAATCTCTCTCAGACATTATCCAGATGTGCAGACTAAGGCACCTCGGGTCCTGGGAGCCATGTTTAAGGGAAGCCTAAAAAGACGGACTCTGGCGCCACCTGCTGTCCACATTCGGCCAGCACAGCTTCCTCTCGGCGAGTGAATGGGGGATGAACTGGAGCAGATCAGAAGAGGAGATACATTTATGTTTTCTTGGAGCACCATGTCTCAGAATTAAATTTGGGCTCCTCCTACATCATTCTTTATGCATTACTTCCCCTCTCTATAAAGTGAGTCTTGGGTAGGGCTGAAATATTTTCACAGTGAAGTTGGAATGATCACATCTTTTCCATCAAAACAGCATTCAATATTTTGCCAGGAACAATTCTGGAATTCTAGGCCAATACTTAGCATTCTTTTGGGTGATGCTAGGAATTTATCTTAATGGTCTCTGAAATGAAAACAAAGCAAAGCAAAACAAAAAACCCCCATTCTGTGCTTTATTTTTCTACCCACACCAAAGCCCTGAAGTATATGTCCCACTATTTAAGATTTAACTGCAACTGATTATCATGGCACTGGGGAGAGAAGAGCTGAAGAGGGTAGTAGCTGAGACCTTCTTGCCCCAAATAATGTTGCTCCTATGTATATATTTCTAGAACTATGTGCCACATGGCCGATGGAAGTGTGTGGGGCTGTGGGAGGCACCAAAGGGCAACTCCTGGGAGATGCAGCAGCCCCGGCGCATGGCCGCGGGGCGAGGTCGATGGAGACCTGGGGGAATGCAGAGGCAAGAGGGAGCACTACGTTCTCAATGGCTTCATTTTAGGAGACCCTGCTCTATGTCCCTTAGGAACATATCTGCTAGAATAGCCACCAAGGAATGGTCAAGCAGGCTAAGTGTCTCTCTGGAGAGCCCTGTCAGTGTGCAGGGAACATTTCTGAAAGAGTGGCTTTGCAAGAAGTGTCCGCGGACACTTAGGATGAGGGAGGTGGGAGGGGGAAACGTCTCTCAGTTCCAGAGATTGAAAAATGAATAACGATCTAAAGCACTAGAGTAGACATGGGTTGGACCCAGGCCTTCTCGTGAAGGAGAAAGTTTGCCATTTGGGAAAAATAGTGACACATGTGTTATGGAAATTATTATCACAACATGAAATAAACTCCACTGTGGAAGACCCTGACACATGGCTGTGACATTTTAATTTTAACATCGGAGAAGGTAATTAGAAATAAGAACCATACCTTTTTGCTTGAAGTGCACGGTGGTGCCAATTTCTAAAAAAGAAACATTTGGCAAAACAAAAACAGATAAAAAATTCTGTAGCAACTGGGGATAAGCACAAAAGTTGTCTGGTACCCTCCACCGAAAGGGGGCTGAGAGAGAGAGAGTGGACACACATTCCAGTAGCGTCACAGATCGATAGAGACAGAAAGAAAGGCACAGGGAAAGAGATGGGCTGGTTGGAAAACACATGCATTTGGGGGTGGCAAAATCACTCTGCAGCTACAAATACTCGCTGCTGCATGTCGTACATGCAGACAAGTACAAGACTCTGGGTGGGGCGCGGACACGAACGTGTTCCTGTAGTCAGTGAAACACTGGAATGTGCCTGGCTCCCAGCACCGTCCTACGATTTTGCCCCTGGCTGGTCCCACTCTTCTTTCTTCTAACGCGCTCGATGCATTCCAACTTTAAAACTTGGGTACTTGCTGTTTCATCTGCTTGGGATGCGCCCCCCCCCCCCCCCAATCTCCGCATGGCTCATTCAGGTTTTTGCTAAAAATGTTTTAGTTACCAACTCAGGAGGGACTTCTCCCACCACCTTATCAAACAACGGTACCCTATGTTACTTCCTTTACTTTGATTCACCAGTATTAACAGCACTTCTCGCTACTTGGCGTCACGTCACACATCCTTAGGGAGTCTGTCTCCTCCCCGAGAGGCCGCAGGGGCCGCGATCAGGAATGCGGTCCGGTGCCTGGATGGGAGCCGGGCGTGCACTAGGCATTCGGAACTGCTCGCTGGGCACAGAAATACATCTCAGGACTGGAAAAGCTCCAACAGGTCAGACACTGGAATTCCCTTCTAAGTGGCCCTTATCGACTACATCACACCCCTTCGAGCTCTGCAGACATAAGTGTGAACATTTCCCGCAGGCGACCACTCGGAATCTGAGAACCAGCTGAAGGTGGGTCAAACGCAGGAGCCCAAAGCATGAAGAGGAGGACACAGCCTGGCGTCTCTGAAGAAGACGCTTTCCCTGCGAAGCCCAGTGGCTGGACGCTGAAGCAGAGGAGCCTCCTGAACTGCACCCTAGTTGTCTCCCTGTCCCGACATTTCTCACGCTTGCTTGTGGCTCCCCGGGCCACAGCAGAAGGCCGGGAACCACTGAAAGGCGAGAAATAAATATGCCGAGCAGCTTCCTCACAGAGGGTCTGAGACTCTGTTAAAACAGAATCTGCGTAGCTGAATTCTCTGTTCTCTGACTTAGTACAAAGGGTCAGATCCAAAGCAGGTCTGCCAAGTTTCCGAGGTTCAGTGCAATCTATGAATCCCTTCCCTCGCAGATTCTTCATTTGCCCATCCAAAGGCGGTCACAAGGAAAAGCCCTCAGAGAGCATGCTGTTTGCTGGAAGACTTAGGATGGCTAGAAGAGTGAGTGCAATTGTCCCAGTGTCTGAAATCTTGAACACGCTTGGCTATTATTCAGCATTAGAAAACTAGTGTCAGCCAGGCTGTGAGTACACATGGGGACAGTCTCCCTACACTACTCAGATGCGGGGTGGATGTGGAGGTCCAGTGTGAATACTCATGTGTATTGTGATTCCTGGTGGACCTCCATAGGCACTTCTCAGTCATCTGTACCTGCCTCCTGTCCTCAAAAAGCTAGTCCATTAGTTGCAGAAGCACTGGACGTCTTCCGCATGGAATTCCATACGAAGGATGGAAGGAGAATTCTGTTCCTCTCTTAGCAGAAGTCGGCATCTGATGTCCCTCTCACATGAAGCCAGATTCCAGCAAGATATGAAACACCAATCTCTACCTGTTGGCCTCCCTGATCATCGGCCCACTGGTGTTTCGCTTGTACATTAAACACACAACCACTTTTTTTCTTTCACAATCCTGCTCTGACAACTTTTTAAAAAAAATACACATTGCCTTTAAAATTGTTGAAATGGCATTATAGAAAAGATGCTCATCACAATACGAGGAAACTGAGGCCCAGAGAGGCTAATCAGTTACCCAAGGTCACACAGCCTGAGGAGAGCTGAGACTATAATTCAAGGCTCCCAATTCTCCAGCCAGGACCCAGCTCGTTATTCCCCAATATCTCTCTAGTATTTTTCTGAAATCAAACTCTATAACTATAGTCTATATAACTCTAGGGTTTTCAATGGGACATTGAAATGGTTCGGTATTGGCTGGGGAGTGTTTGGCTCTGCTGATGTACAAAGTGCATCGTTCCTTCTTTCCTTGGTCAAGCCTTTGGTGTGTCATCCTTTAGAATGTGTAAGGACCTCTCAAGGTCACAGAATGGTGCTCTTCACCCAAAGGAGCCTATCCCTGATGGGAACATCCTTATGTAAGGAACACTTGACTTCCCCTGTTCCATTTCTGGTCCCCTGGCCTCATGGAATAATTGTAAGCAATTGTTCAGGAACCTGGGCAGGTAGGGAGACCAGTGGCCTTGTTCAAGATAGAAAAAAAAATCACTTAACTTCTCTTCCCTTTGGTTTCATCATCTCTAAAATGAATTTGATCAACATGCTTCTTATAAACTTGTTTTATCAATTAGATAAATTAATTATCATACTATACTTAGAATGCGGCCAGACACAAAGTAAGTGCTCAATAAATAAGAGTTGTCAGATTTGTGGTAAAAAGTTTGGTGGAAAGAGGAAAATGTATCTTAACAAGTAAGCCATGGCCGTACTGGTCCAAAGAATGAATGAATGAATAAATAAATGAATAAATAAATAAATAAATTAAATAAATAGTCTACTGCAACAATACAGATGAACAAAACATCGAGAGAAGCTAGCACACTGAAGTGATAGGGAAGCGCACTGATTAGGCAGCATTTTGGTCAGAAGTAAACTATTGATGTGCCCACGTTAACTAGTCACTGGAACAGGCTTGAATAAGAGTCCTTATGTTCTAAACGGATCTCTTAATTTATCTTTAAGTGGTTAAAAATAGCTCATTTTAAAAAAAGGCCATAAAAGAATTGGCAAAATATCATGCTATATGAAGAAAATATAAAAATCATACAAAATATACATTTGTTTGAAGTACCTTTAATAAGCAAACTAGCTTACCATTTACATTGTAGAAAGTCTTTCCTATTGCAGTAAAGGAACTGGTTTGTGTAATTCTAATGATCTTAACACTTGGAATTCCATTTGTCTTTAGGAAAAGAGTGGCATGCTTATTTCGTACTGTTATTTTCTACTTATCATATTCTGTTGGAAGAGAACATTATTCTTTTGAGGAGCAAAATCCTGCTATTTTCTGTGCCTGGCTCTTTGAAAACCTGGTTGTGTCCTGCCATCTTGTGGTCATACCAAGACATGGTCCTATGTACTGTCTAAAAGGAAAAGACTGTGTCCACCAGGTGGCAGTAGTTAGAAAAATAAACGCAGTATTTCTTTTTTCAGTCAGAGCAGGACTGAAATGTTACTCTCCAAAAAGGAGTCTTCCTATTTTTATAGACAAAAAAAACAAAAAAAAAAATCTCTTTAACAGCTTAAAATTATTCTTTTTCTAGTGCAAAGGTGATCTCAAGTTCTTGAGAAAAACAGCTTTGCCAGGGATATTATTTCTATAGGCCTCCCCTGGACACATTCGTTAGAATATGTCTAAAACATGATATTTATGCCTTTCAGGAAGACTTCTCTCCACATATCTATCTTGCTTTAGCAAACACCCTTAACAAGTAAGTGTAGCAGTGCAGGTCCATAGAATAAAATAAAAATAAATCTACTACAGCACTACAATGGATAAAACTTTGGGGGAGTCCAGTACAGAGAAAGTTCTAGAATTCTCTGGAAGTATTATTAGCATATGCGTAGATATTACTTCCTAATGAGGAGGTGCAAGGCAGTCATGGGAAAATCAGTGCTAGAAAAGGGAAGCATCTTGACAAATTCATTTAGGCTAATCTGTCTTTGACTTTGGACTTCCAGATACTCTGCATCCAGCCATGTTAGACAAACCTTTGGCATGAAAAAAGCTGATTCAGCCTCTCTCACTAGCACAGACAACGCCTTCCTGTTCACTACTGTAGCCTCAGCTCAGTATTTCTCTAGCACAGAGTAAGTGTTCAGTAGAGTTGCTAAATAAATGTCCAAGTGCATGAATGAATGAATGAATAAGTGCATGCATGAATGACTAAGTGAATGAATCAATCCCAGCTTTAAGAGCTGCCTTAGTGCCCTGGCAGTTTGCTCAGTGGTTAGAGCGTCGTCCTGCGGACTGGAGGGTCCCTGGTTCAGTTCCCACTAAGGGCAGGTACCTCTGTTGCAGTTTGTCCCTGGCTCCGGTTGGGGTTATGTGGGTGGTAACCAGTCCATGTGTCTCTCTCACATTGATGTTTCTCTCTCTCTCTCTTCCCCCCTCTCTCCCTCCCGTTCTATTTGAAGATAAATGCAAAAATGTCCTCGGGTGAGGATTAAAATTAAATAAATAAATAAAAGAGCTGCCTTAGCTAAGCTTCTAGGCAGGGGAAGAGTCAATTCTCCTTTGGAACCACCATGCCTTGTATCCCAAGGCAAAGAAACTGCTGTTGGGATTCACCATTCGAAGAGCCATGTGGGGCCAGGAGGCCTTTTCATCAGTCCCCAAATCCTGGCAGGTAGAAACTTTTCTGGAGGGCTGAGCTTTATTTAAGAATATCCTCATGGCCCTGGCTGGTATAGCTCAGTTAGTCGAGCATCATCCCATGCACTTAAAGGTCTCCGGTTCGATTCCCGTCAGGTTTGATCCTTGGTCAGGGTGGTACAGGAGGCAACCTATCAATGTTTCTCTCTCTCTCTCTCCCTCCCTCTCACTCTAAAATCAATAAAGACATATTTAAAAAATAAGAATATCCTGATGGCTAAAGAAAATTTAAACCTTAGAAAATAAAAATTCAAGCTTCTTTTTTGTTCAGAGGCTAGAAAAGTTTTTCTTTTCCTGATCTCCCATCTTCTATTAAGTTGCACGAGTAATTCTCTCCCTCTCATTAAAAACAGAATTGTGAAGACGAGAGAGACTTCATTAGAAACTCTAGAGT